ATCTCTCTTTCTCTCTCCATTTCTCTATCTCTCTTTCTCTCTCCATTTCTCTATCTCTCTTTCTCTCTCCATTTCTCTATCTCTCTTTCTCTCTCTTTCTCTCTCTCTCGTTCTCGCTCTTTCTCTCTCACTTGCGTCAGTTCTCTCTTTCTATAGTTTCCCACATCTTTAAAAAAAAAACCAAAAACCCACCTCAGCTGATTGACATAATAATATTCAATCTGAATCCTGTCATCGGATCCTTGCGTCTGACCTCAAGAAACGGTGTCTGTGGTGTAACTGTTAGGCGCATCACTGTCGCACACAGGACACCCGAGTTCCAATCCCCAATGGAAAGAAAAATCGTATTACCATTTATTTAGTATCTCTGTCTTTCTACTAGGATACATCCTTCTCCACCGAGTTGGCCATGACAGGCTAAGTTTTAAATATGTGAGGCAGCGTGGTGGAATCAGGCTCCCGTCAAAATAATGAAATCGAAGAAAACAGCAGTTTTCTCCCTGCTTAGCAATTTTTATCAAATTTTTGTATTTTGGCTCAACACCTTTTATGACCATTTACAAACACATTCCTTTGAAGAGTTCACCGAAAGAGGTTGATTAAAGGCACAAAAATATAAATTTACAGTTTCCATGGACTCTCCAGTTTTGGAATTTACCTAGCTTTGGCGGCCATTTTCTCGCTAATTTTACCTCTTAATCCAGGTGACCCCCCACCTCCTTCAATCCAAAATATCTCCACTTCTATTGAAGATGGATGGATAATTTTTCATTGAAAGCAAGACAAATGAACAAGCATTAAGATGATACCTTTAACTCAATATGCCCCAAAAATTGACGAGAGCCTGATTCCACAGCGCTGCCTCACAATGTTCTACATTATGTCGATGGGGGTGTAAAAACACCTTCATTGCAATAACAAAAAATGCTAAGACCTCAAAAGAAAACAAAAATCAAAGCAAGAGGCATAAGGTCACCAGGTTTGGGGTGTAGCTTTGCCATGCAAATCATCTCAACGTTTTTACTAACTCTCACATGTGGCAATTTTATAATCACAAGTTTGGTTTGAAATAGAATAATGTAAATGTTAGCATTTGCGTCATAAAAGTGATGGGTTTCAAGGTAAAAGGAAGCATTCATCACCATCATCAAGTGGGAGATCTGCGGAAGAAGTATCAGCGATCATGGTTACTTGATTGGAGAAAAGGAATCAGCGCAGGCGGTACAATGTCATAGCTGCTCCCCCCCCCCCCCCCCCCTTTCTTTTTTTCTTTTTTTTTGGGGGGGGGGGTTGAGTGAACACTTTTGTACCCACCTTATAACACAAATCCTACATGGATTTTACACAACCCCCCCCCCCCCCCCCCCAGGGCAGTGCCACTGACTGTAGTGTCTTTAGGCCATTACCAAAGGGGGGGGGGGGCATTTCTCGTTCATGCACTGTAGAATTGGAAATGGGCTGATTCATCATATCACGCTCATAACTGTGCCTGATCTACAACACGGAACTGCCTTTTCTTTCCTAATCCTTACTATTGTCATTTTCCTCTACTTCTTTTGTATGTTTGTCACACTCTTGTGACCTGCTATTTCCGGGGTGCCTTGATAGTTGAAACAGACTTTGTGCTGTTGAAGCTAGAGAGGTGAGCAGAGTAAGTCTTTTTCCCTGCAAAGACCTCTCTGTCGACATCCATCCCTGGGCGCTCATATGACCTTATGCAGTTGCGAGCGCCGCAAAACCCTCAACTTTAAAAAAAATGGATTTTACTGAAAAGTGTTGATCAAAGGCAACAAAACAAATGTGAGGCAGCGTGGTGGAATCAGGCTCTCGTCAATTTTTGGGCATGTAGAGTTTTTGGTATCATCTTAAAGCTTGATCACTTGTCTTTATTGTTATGCAAAAAGTATCCATTTATCATGAACACAAGTCGAGATATTTGCAAAAGTAGGAGGCGGGGGTCACCTGTTTTAAGATATAAAATTAGTGAGAAAATGGCCGCAAAGATTAGTTATTTCCTTAGCTTAGGAGTCCGTGGTAACTGAAGATTTACATTTTTCATGCCTTTAATCAACGCGTTTCAGAAAAATCCACACAGAAATGAGTTCTTTAATGGGCGTGAAAGGTGTTGTGCCAAAAAACAAAAATTTGATAAAAATTCACAAACCTGCGGAAAAATGCAAGTTTCTTCACTTTGATTATTTTGACGAGAGCCTGATTCCACCACGCTGCCTCACAAATGGAACATTTTGTTTCTACAGACACAACACTTTTGACAATCACCGAATATTTACGTCATTTCCTCACTAATTTTACATCTGAGACCAAGCGAACCCCATCTCCTTTAATTTGCCGATATCTCGACTACTATTCAAGGTAGATAGATGTGAGGCATCGTGGTGAAATTAGGCGCTCGTCAAAATATTAAAATCAAAGATATCGGCAATTTGTCTTCATTTTGACTTTTTTTTTCAATTTTCTTTTTAGCCTCAACACCTTTTATGTCCACTTAAAAACATATTTCTGTGAGGATTTTACAGAAAAACATTGAATAAAAACACAACAAATGTACATTTTCAGTTTCCAAGGACTCCCAAGCTTTGGAAATCACCAAATTTTGACTGCCATTTTCTCGCTAATCAAAACTTCTGAGTGTCATAATATCCAAGCTTTTTGGCATGCAAATCTTTGAAGATCTTGATAACGACTCCCAATTATCTTACATTTTGATAGAATAGACAGAACATTTTGATTTCTGACCTCATTGTCTTGGCAGCTCAAAACGGCCAAAAACGTCAGATAGAACTTTATAATTCAGAACTAGTAAAAGGTTCAAACAAAAGAGATTGTTTCCTCTGTGTCAATTACTTTCACACACTGTCTGTGTGATTCAAAGTAAATGTTGTGTGTTTATTTGTTTTCCATTGACATTGTGAGAAAACAATAAGGGGGGGGGGGGGGGGTGGCTCTCGTGGCCTAGAGGTTAAGGTGCTGGCCTCTCATTCAAAGGTCCCGGGTTCGATTCCGAGTAGCGATCGAAAAATTTTCTTCTCTAAAAGTGTCTCCTTTCACCTCCTTTCCTGCTCTGTAGCAATGTTCTGTTGTCTGCTTTCGTTTCCATTTTCTGCCCCCACCCCCTCACCTCCTTTGCCCCCCTCCTCTGGGCTCCTGACTCTTTCTGCAGCCTTTCTACTATTACTCCTTGGCTCATCCTAACTCTGTCTTTCCGCCACACCCCTGATCTTCTGGAAGGAAAGATCTACACCTAGCCTTCTCGGACAAGGGCGAAAAATCTCTGAGGGCCCGTGTGCAAGTTGCGCACGTTAAAGATCCCTTGGTGGTCTAAAATCGATTAGAGTAGGCTTCGGCCGCCACCCTTGCAAAATTCAAAATTTCCTACCAACTGAAAATATTAGGTGTGTCCCGCGCGCTCATATGACCTTATGCAGTTGCGAGCGCCGTAAAAACACTTACCAAAATAAACAAACAAGAAAACAATACCAAAAACTTGCCGATGCGCTGCATGCAAGTCGTGGTTTTCTTTGTCTTCCGTATGTACTCGGTGTTTCTTAAGTCATACACACCAACTTTTCTTATATCTTTCATTACATTTTTTACGCATTAGTGAAAATGATCATGGGTGTGATATATTTTTAAATATTACATTTGCAGATAGAAAATAAGTATTAAATACATTGTATCATGCATAAAAGTCACTTAATGGACATGAGCTAAAAAGAAATTAGTTAGTGAGGATCGAGCGTTTAGCACAACTAAATTATTTTGTTGTGGATAAGAAAAAAAAGTTTCCTGCATTTTTTGTTTTAAAAAAACCCTTAACTTTTCTGGATTAAGAAAACAAAGACATAATTTAACAAACAGTTTTTCGTTGTTGTTGTCATTGTTTTTGTTTTGTTATTTTAAGAAGTAAAAATCATGTTCTGCTACTGTTCAACCACACCTTGTGGTCTGTTAAAAGAACTTAACTCTTGTTTGAAGTAAATGTGCCCTGGACTGTTTTAATTAATTAATTCATTAATTCATTCATTCATTAATGTATTTATTTATTCATTTACTGCTCGTTTATTACTTAGTTAGTTAGTTAGTTTGTTTGTTTGTTTAGTTAATATTTTATCCTGGGAAGGAGCGGGAGAGGGAACGTTCTCACGGAGAGAGACGGTTTGGGGGAGTGGGGGGTAGTCATCTATCATCTTCACTCCCTTGTTTTCATCCTCTTTAAAAAAAAAAAAAAGGTAACAGTCGCAGTTGAAAGTCTGAAAGTCGAATTAATGTCCATGCCCTAATTGACAACAAGTCGACTTCTGATGGCAGACTGCTTCTACCCCGGTGACAGACAAAAGTATAACACGTGGATAACACCATTATAGTACTATAGTGAGGTGAACAAGTTATTGTGAAATTTTCCCCAAACTTTTGAACATAGACTGTCCAGCTTTTACACAATGACTTTTATCAATTTGTCTTAACTGACAAATATTTTTATAAACAATTTATAGCTGTATTCTAGAAAATTGCTTAACAAATACTAATAAAATATCCAAGTAGGTTGTTTTTACAGATTAAAATAGGTTTACAGCTGCTGTTACAATATCACTTTAAGAGCTACCCGTCATTATCTATTTTTCTCTAATCGTGACACTGTCATTATTGAACAATTTTTAAATATTTTTTTATTATTTTTTTTTGGGGGGGGGGGGGGGGGGGACACGACCACCTGATTTCACCATGTTGCGTCACCTAATAATATATATTTTATTCCTTTCAGGAGAAACAGAAAAACTTTGACAGTCAATAATGTCATTGGTGGGTGCAGTCATAGTAGTTCTGCTCTTGATGCAAGGTGAGTGGATTGTATGTATATATTATATTTTTATAATATACCGTGTTGCAAAAGTTCTATCACACCCACTTTAAAAGTAAAATAATTCATTTACTATTCAACATAGCAATGAGAAATTTGGTACACATGATCTTTGTTTATTTTCTGCCAACATGACATGAAAAGAATTGACCAATGTTATTCCTTATTCAAGGGCGATAATTGTATGCACACTGACCCTGGCAAAATCTAAATCAAAGTTTGCCCAGTCTTGTGTGTGGCCTCTTCCAGCTAGACTTACTGATACAAAATGTCTGTTTATTGACTGAAGTAATATCCTTCTGGTTGCCTGAGAAATCACCTGCTATTCCTTGTGAAATGGACCATTCAGTTCCTGACAAGCTTGTACAGAATGCAGCCTGTTTCTAATCCTCCAGTCAAGGTCATCTTACAGATGTTCTGTTAAGTTAAGGCTTTGTTGATCTTGCAGGATAGTCCAGAACAATGCTTTGATGAGTTTAGAAGATGTTTTGGCTAATCATGGCCGCATGGGATCGGGCGTTGTCCATCAATCGTGCCATATTGGGCAGTCAACGTGACGACGAAATTTGTCACGACACCGTCGTCTTTTGATGTTACCTTGAAAAGTGACCAAATGTGTACGATAAAGAGCAGAGAATTAACCCAACACCATCACGTTTCAGGCACCAGATCGGGCCACTTTGGGGACATTGGCTTTGGGAAATCTCTATCCTCTTCTTTTAAACACTTTTTCTCTTCTATCAATGCGACGAATTAAAAACCTGAACAATTGCTGAACGGAAATCTTTACCAATGTCCTCAGTTCCATCAACGATGTTGTTATGCCCAAATTTGGCGATTTGTTCGATGAAACAAGGTTGGGATGGTTCTACATAAAGGGTTATAATCACGTAATCCACGATCATATAAATGTCTAATAATGGTGTTTTAAGACAGTCCGGTAATCCTTGTAGTCTTTGCACTTGGTTGGAATGGGTTTCGAATCTGAGTGTTGACTAAAAACCGCATCTGACTTTGAGTTGTCGCCCTTGGTTAGCCACGTCTAGGCTTGTCTCGGACAGTTCTAGCGATGTTAAAACGCTTGTTCAAGCTTTATATGGTCCTGCTGCACACGTTTACATCTCTTGCAACAGAAGGAATCGCAATTGAAGAATTTATCATACAAATAGGACGTTAATTTTCTGCTTTTGACCGTTTTGTTATTTTGAAAACAGGAGAACAAATGACCTGACTGTTAAAAATCGCGAAATGTGGTTAGGCTCTCGGACTCACAACCGTAAGGTCGTGGGTTCGAATCCCGTCAAGGGCCCGACGTTGTGTCCTTGGGAAAGGCACTTTGCACGAATTTTCCTCACTTCACCCAGGTGGGAATGGGTACCCAGCTATAGACAGCGAAAGATCTTGTCAGTTTGTTAGTGTTTGAGTGCTTAATCAGCTGCTTGCACTGTATGCTTCCCGGGAAGCTGAGAATGTTCCTGAGTGTTCTATGGTCTGCTGGGGTAATAATATAGTGTAAAGCGCATAGAGCCTGCTGCTGAGTGGGGATATGCGCTATACAAATGCTATCTATTATTATTATCATTATTAAATCTTAAAGTGTGTAAGGTGTGTTTACATGTTGTCTGCGTGATTTAACACAGATGTTGTGAGAACTCAAAGCTAACCCTTTGCTCACGTACTACTTCTGGTTTATGATTTCTTTCGTCTGCTCATGCACGTGGAGTCTCATAAGTCAAACAAGTCATACTTTTTTTTTCATTTTTGCTGAAATTCTTACGCTGTAGCGAAAATCATCATAGTATAATGGTTGTGACAGAACTTTTGCAACTGGGTATAATATATATATGAATATATACATTATACATATATATATATATATATATATATATATATATATATATATATATATATTATATATATATGTATAGTAAAATGTGAAAGTATGTATGTGTGTGTATTAAGTGTGTGTGTATCTACGTATGTATGTATGTATGTATGTATGTATGTATGTATGTATGTATGTATGTATGTATGTATGTATGTATGTATGTATGTATGTATGTATGTATGTATGTATGTATGTATGTATGTATTGTTTTTGTTTGTTTTTGTAAAATATTTTACAGCGCTCGCAACTGCATAAGGTCATAAAATGAGCGCGGGACACACCTAATATTTTCAGTTGGTAGTAAATTTTGAATTTTGCCCGGGTGGCGGCCGAAGCCTACTCTTATCGATTTTAGACCACCAAGGGATTTTTAATGTGTGCAACTTGCACACGGGCCCTCCGAGTTGTTTTGCCCTTGTCCGAGAAGGCTTGATGGTAGATCTTTCCTACCAGAAGATCAGGGGTGTGGCTGAAAGACAGCAGTAAGAAGAGGCGAAAGAGTAGCAGTAGAAAGGCTGCAGAAAAAAATCCAGAGTCCAGAGGAAGGTGCAAAGGAGGTGAGGGGGTGGGGGCAGAAAGAGGAGACGAAAGCAGACAACAGAACATTGCTAAAGAGCAGGAAAGGAGGTGAAAGGAGACAATTTTAGAGGAAAAAAATTGTTCGGTCCCTACCCGGATTCGAACCCGGGACCTTTTGAATGAGAGTCCAACACCTTAACCTCTAGACTACGAGAGCCCCCTTATGTATGTATGTATGTATGTATGTATGTATGTATGTATGTATGTATGTATGTATGTATGTATGTATGTATGTATGTATGTATGTATGTATGTATGTATGTATGTGTGGATGTATGTATGTATGTATGTATGTATGTATGTATGTATGTATGTATGTATGTATGTATGTATGTATGTATGTATGTATGTATGTATGTATGTATGTATGTATGTATGTATGTATGTATGTATGTATGTATGTATGTATGTGTGCGTGCGTGCGTGCGTGCGTGCGTGCATGCGTGCGTGCGTGCGTGCGTGCGTGCGTGCGTGCGTGCGTATGTGCGTGCATGCGTGCGTGCGTGGGTGAGTGCGTGCATGTGTGTGTGTGTGTGTGTGTGTGTGTGCATGTATATGTATGTGTATATGTATGTGTGTGTGTGTGTGTGTGTGTGAGTGTGTGTGTGTGTGTGTGTGATTGTGTGTATGGATGGCTGGATGGATGAATATATGTATGCATGTATGGGTGGTCGGATGGATAGATGTTATGGATGGATGGATGAATGGTTGTATGGATGGATAGGTGGATAGATGTATAGATTCATAGATGAATGGATGCATGGACCAATGCGTGGAAGGATAGAAGGATATTCGTTTATCTGTCAGTATGTCTTTCTGTCTGTCAATCTATATATCAGTCTCTATCTATTTTTCTGGAAATCAGTTGACTAGTCCATACATCTCTGTATCTATGTTTTATCTTTCTATCTGTTTATCTCTCTATCTGTTTCCCAGTAAAGCCGGTTGTCTGTATTGATGCAAAGTACTCCTAATATATCTAGACACGGTGTAATATGCATGGAGAATAAAAAAAGGCAAATAATACACTTTTACACATTTCTTCACACACAAGTAGCATACTTGCACAAACATTACATTTTTAGACGCAAAAGTCGCTGCATTTTTTCAACAAACATCAACTCCTTATTTTTCAACAGGTTTGGTCATACCGTCACAGTGTGACCTGGATTGCTATGAATCGCATTATTGGCGTCGAAAACACAGCTTCGGTAACATTATTTTGTGAGGTATCGGGGTGAAATCAGGCGTTCGTCACAATAATGAAATCAAAGAAACGGGTACTTTCCTAGCCGTTGGGCTTTTTTAAAATGACTCAGCACCTTCTATGTTCATTTGAAAACACATTCCTCAGGGGATTGTTTTGGAGACATTGTTCAAAGGGATACAAAATATAAATCTGCAAGGACTCTCAAGCTTTGGAAATCGTCAAACTTTGGTGGCCATTTTCCCGCTAATTTTAGTTCTGAAACCAAGCGACCGCCTACTCCTTCAAAAGCAAATCTCTCGACTGCTATTCAAGATGGATGGATACTTTTTAAGAGCAAATCTAGGCAAATGAATACGTTTTATGAATATATCAATAACTCTATAATATGCCTAAAATATGACGAGCGCCTAATTCCACTGCGTCGTGAGATGATATAAAGACTTCTGGGGAAAAGGCATAGATGTTCACTCTTTAGATTCTCGTGTGTTTTTCCACTGGAATTTAGCCATGGGAATCTGCTATTTATCATTGATATAATGCATTTGAAAAAAACCCACAACAACTGCGTAAGTCAAGAGATAAAGGTATTTGTTGGTTTTTTTTAAATGTGGTTAGAGGGAAGCAATGCAGTCTTAAAAAACACAATTTCAAGTTTTGTAAAACATAAACACCTCTTGGTTTTTCTCCATGCTTACTCTGTATATCATTAATACTTGGTACTTTTATTATTCTTATTTCTTCATTTGTTTAACATATAAACATATTAAAGAAACATAAATTTTGCATACAAACCCCATCTCCGATAGCTAAAATAATCACAACAAATTTAATTCCAGAGAACCTTGGAAACCATCCAAACAAAAAGAGTTCAACGGTTTTCTTAGTTTGTAGTTACTCATGGCGGCGTCGTAAGATTGCGGGTTTAGGAGTTCGAGCGTCAGCTCAGTCCAATGTTGTGTCCTTGGGAAAGGCACTTTACTCAAATTTCCCTCTTGGCTCTGTCCTTTCGGAAATGAACGTTAAACTCGGAGGTCCCGCCTCTTAATGAACATAATAGTGTTGAAAGAGGCACTAAACTTATACCACTTCACCATAATTTTAGTTCCTCCTGGTAGGCCAGTTTGTTGTCTGTAACGTAACCAACGGTTCCATTCTACAAACCTCCAACGTGTATTTTCATAAAAATGGCGGCCATCTTGGATCCGGGAAATTTTTTTTTTCATCGTAATACCTGTATCATGACGAAGTTGTATGCCAAATTTAAGGCTTCTAGGTCCAGAAATAAAGGAGTTAGCTCGCTTGTGGGACCCCCCTCCCCCCTTAAGTTACCTAGCATCTGCGTTTATCGCGGTTGCGATTTTTTTCATTTTTTGGTCCGCGAATCGCAGCCGCGATTTTTGCATAAGTTTTCAAAAAAGACAAAACAACGAAGCTACTTCAAAACATATTAGACATGTATTTTGATAGGTTTTAAGATTTCCATGTGTAACTATTTTCATGCAGAGAATATAAGTACATTACCATATTATTTTTATTGCTCTCTTACTTTTATTTTCCCTCTTTGTTATGTTTTAATTTGTTGGAGAGTTAATTTTTCTAAAAATTGTTCTGATGATTCGTTTGTCTTTTTTGCTTTTTTGCTGCGTAATGTCATTTAATTTAATGCTATTCCCACCATTTAAAAAATATAAATATGTTATAAATTTATTAGAGCGGATCTACACCAAAACCGACTTCTGACACTGGCACACCCCAAATGTGTGTGATTCCATAACATAATTTACATGTGGTATCCTGCAAGCCTACTTTTCCTTGAATTACACACGTTTAGGGTTAAAACAGCCAATCTTCAGAGAGATGGACAGGCGCCCTAATTAGTTAATTTTTGTGGTTATTTATACGTGCTGTTCTAATTTTGATTCCATTCTATTGTGAAACCTTTATTTTCAACGTTTTTACCCTCTTGGTGACTACAAAATGATGTTCTGGATGCTCAAAACAGATCACAAGAAATGCTGGTGCTATAGATAGATTGTTACCTCTATCAACATATTGCTATGTTACGTTGTTACAGAAAGTTGAAAGCTTGAAAATTAATGGCAACTTTTTTGGCAACTTTTGGCAACTTTTGGCAGCTTTTGGTCCAAAAAATGGCAACAAACGCAGATGCTCGAGTTACATCGTTTGTTTCGTAAATACCATCTCGATTTTTTACTTTCTGAGTGTGGTTGGGTTACGTCCCTTGTTCATTGTGCTACCCCGCTGATATTGCTTACATTATGTGTGGCATCATGGCGAAATCATGCTCTTGTCAAAATATCAAAATCGAAAAGGCCGATGATTTTCTCACACATTTGACAAATTTTATCTTCTTATTTAAAATTATTTTTAGATTGATTCATTATAATCCTTTCGTTTCTCATCGTCTATTATGTCTGTTTAAGAAGACACTTAATCTGTTTTGATTTTACTGACGACGTTGATAAAAGGCTTAACAGGTAGAAAAGTGTTGTTGTTTTCAAGGACATTCAAGATTTGGAAATTAGCCAAAACTTGGCCTCCAATTTCTCAAAAACTTTACCTCTTACACCAAGTGACCCCCCCCCCCCCTACTTTAATCGCCAACATATGGGCTTCTATTCAAAATAAATAGACTTTCATCGAAAGTAATACAACTGATCAAGCTTAACTGATGATTTTAATATTTCTCTATGCCCAAAAATTGAAGAGCACCTGATTCCACCGCGTCGTGAAACAATATCATTATCTCGTACACATAGTACATACAGCTCCGTGTGTTTAGGTGAAGCTGCGTCCGCTCCTTGTTCCCACAGTATACAGTCATAGTCATAGATAAGTTCCTGGTGTGTAGGTTTCGATTCGTGTTCACCGTGTCATCTCGTTGATATGTTATGTAAAACTTTGTGCTTCTAAACTACATCCAGGGAGGATTGAAGAATACCGGACCACTCGTAGATAGCTATACATTATTGCGCGAGAATGTGGGTTGGGTGGGGCGGGTGGAGGAGGGTGAGGGGGTGGTGGGGGGGGGGGTTCAGGGGGGTCTCCCCCCTGACAAAATTTTAGGAATAGATCTACGGGTCCAAGATTCTCCATTGAGAGATAAAAACTGGGGAAAATCATGAATTCCTAAGATTGAGACTTAGGCAAAGTCAGTCCGCTGGTCCGGTATTCTTCAATCTTACCCTACATCCATCTCCAGAACAAGTTATGAAAGAGCCAATAGAGGAGGGAAGGATCGTCAACCGCACGTGTGATTTAAATCGCCAATCCTGCATTCGCTGGTTTGCGTGGCACAGCCATCGACAATTTATTCTTCAATGTTACATCAAGGAAATAAATAACTCGTCCTGTGGAGTTGTCAATTCAACTTTCTCCAGCTTCTCAATAAGGTCAGACGAAAAAACTGGATCTAGTACTCTCTCCTTTACGGCAAACAGACAGCTTAAAGCTGTGCAGTGTGACTATGAAACAAAGTTTGGAATTTTGACCTACTGTGAGTATTATGTAGTAAACTGAGTTTTTTTGTCTGCTCATTAGAGCTCTTAGATCTAGATCTAGGTGTATTTTGTTTCCGTTCGTTCACTTTCGTGTATGTAGATGCACAGTGTGTTTTGTGTGTTTTGTATCTGTGCGTGTGTTTTCATATGTGCGTGTGTGAATAATGTATGTGTATGTAGGTGTGAATGTATTTGTGTATGTATGTGTGTATGTGTATAGATGTGTGTGTGTGTGTCAAATTGAGTATGTTAGTATGTTTGTATTTGTGTCTTTGTGTGTCTACACTAACTTATTCACACACACACACACACACACACACACACACACACACACACACACACACACACACACACACACGCACACTCATTTACACACACATACACACATCTACACACTCATACACACTTACATACACACACACACGCACACACACACACACACACAAACAAACACACTCACAAACACAGACACGCATGCATATTAACATTCTATAACGCATATCCCCTCTTTCACACACATTAATTATACATACATACATAAGATAATAGTATGCTTACTCCCATAAAATAACCCAGTCTCCAATAAACGTTATAAATCTGACTGTATTTTGAAAGAAAACATGGCTTAGAAGGTGTTGATTTTTGTAACACCTTATAAAATATTATGTTTTTATCCCTATGGGGTGTAATAATAACAATGACAAAGCTGCTATCAATCACGCACAATGATAGTACAAATTATAAAATCAAATTACATAATTATTCTATACCCCGCATTTCCAGTTAGATACTTCATGTAGTACTCAATGAGCTTAAAAACAAATGCGATAAACATAGTTCTAATGGTGATGTTTTCAACTGTGCTACTCTCTAGTAATACTTCTAATCTTCAAAACTCATAATATAACCAAACTGTGTTGCAAGTGCTGGAAAACTCTTAGTAGAACTTAGACTCTAACCTTCGGCATTTACATGATTTAATGGTGTTGCGAGTGCGTAAACCTCCAACTGAAACTAACACGAAACTCGACATAGCATTTTTCTTTTTCTACCTACAGCCAGACCAGAAAACCTGACGTGCAGTAGCCCAGAGTACACGAACAACAGCAACACAGTGTCTGTGACGTGTGTAACCAGTGACCTATTTCCTACTGACCCCCGATGTGTGCTGTATAGACAGACAGATGGTGTAAGTTGTCGCTATTATTTATTTGTTAAATGTGTTCTTTGTATTGTTTTGTTTGTTTTGTTTGCTTGTTTGTTTGTTTTGTTCTTACTTTTTGAGGTTTTTTTGTGTTTTGTTGTTGTTCTTTTTT